ATCTTTTGTCAGCGGCCGCGTACGACTTTATGATCGTGAAACAGTCAGAGCAAACGAAAATGGTGGGTTGACATTCTTGCGCCACGATGTTGACTCCTGTCAAATTCTCGATAACTTGTATCGTCGTAAATCCTGCACTTGAGAGGGTTGCATCAGGCCCAAAAATGTTCCTGCGCTTCTTACTCGTTGTTTCATCGAAGTTTCTGCCACAGTTCGCACATACATTGGTAGGAATACCGCTGAGAATGATCTCTTCGCATTTTTTTCTCGGTGTGACTCCCGCCATTTTCCCACGAAGAAGTTCTAGGAACTTTGGGAAATAGCAACAGATTTCGGGTGGCCACGCCTTCCGTGCCAAACTTTTGGGCACATGAAAGGCGCGCCGACGTCCATCACTGGGTAGCGACCGACAGGCCCATAGCAACCATCTCCGCTGGGTGCCGCGCCGTCTGGGGAACTTTCGTGACGTTTGCATCTCATTAACCATATATGGCGGCCCGGGGCCGAGGACAGACCGCCGGCTTTACGCGTGCTTGACATCAAGCTTTTGGGGGGCGGCAACCTAGGGCGGCGGCCGCCAGGAGCGCGATTTAGTCAGGCTAGAATAGGTATATACAGGTTATTTTCATTAAAATGTCATCAATACTTCCATTTCTTTTTCCAAAAGGACTTTAGTATATTTACAATGTATTTTAGGATTTATCATGAAAAAAAAAATTGAAAATTCAAGATTGATGATCCAAGATGGCGGATATCTTAAATATGCATGACGTCATTTAATGACGTCACCGGTGTTGCTATTGGCAACATAAGACTAAGTACACCCTAATATTCTGTCAGAAACACTTTTGGTAAAGCTTTGTTGTATACTATTTTGTTTTTAGGGAATAACCTATCTAGACGGTTTTGGACAATAGAATCGCATTAATGACGTAATATTACGTCACTACGACATAAAAATTGTACATAATATAACCAGTACACCATGCTCTGAAAATTTGGTGGTCATACGGCATACCGTTTGCGAGTTCTGTGGGGGGTCAAATAAGCCCCCCCCCCCTGTCCCACCAAGCCCCCAAAAAGCCCGGTCTAGAAAGGGTTAATAAGATATTTTAAAACAATGATTTTTTTATGCAGCAAAAACACTAGAACATCAGAATGAACCGGGTGTCTAATATAAAGTATGTATTTATGACATCACCTCAAAAGCCATTAGTTTAGGCATCAGTATCTATGGATGTACTCCTGTAGTATATTATATATTGGCACATATCGAACAGATAAAGATAGCTACGTGTAATTGAGGTTTATTTTCTTTTCGATGCATATATTTCTACTTTACTCCCATCGATTACGTTTATGTTACACAGGAAAAGGCATTTGATATCTTGTTATGTCTTTTGCACTAAAGGGGTAACCTTTCGTTACGGAGGTTACAAAAATTTATTTATCTTTCTGAAAGATCCAGAGTTTATAGGTGCACATAGAAACTAAGTAACTTTTCTTTACCAAATGAAGTAAATAACATTGAATAATAAATAATAGTAAACAAGGTTACAGACAAATGGCAGCATACACTCCTTTCTTCCAGGCTCCTCTTAGAAACGCAGAAAACGTTTCGTGTCATATATATGGCTCTATCTAAACTGCATGACCGGAGGTTACAGTACTTGTGTACAGTACAGTACTGTGACAGGTATGAACCAACTCGCACAATGTACAAGAATAGTGACAGGAGAAATATGACTTAATTAGTCAATAAAAGGCTACCCGGTTTCAACGGGCACCAAACTATTGTCGTAATTATATTGCTACGTTTTAGACTGCTTTTATGCAAATTTTCATTCATTCTCAGGCGACAGCCGCTTTTTAGGGAGAGAAATCCAATCCAATTTCTTCCAAGTCATCAATCAAACCAGAAATTACTGGTAAGGTCCGTGATTTTGCTCATATCTAGCCGTAAAGAGCGGCGACAGGATTATGTACATTTGAATGAGAGCAAGTGGATACTGACCTAGGTTTTTTGTGATTAAGTAAATGAGGCTATCATCATTAGAGACCACCGGTTGACACTTACTTAACCGAGGCGAGGGACGTATAACGTCCTCAAAGTCATTGAAAAATTTAACTAATGAAGAAGTCGACGAATTAGCAATCGAAATTTGATGTGGGCAAAATTCTATTGTTTTAAACGGAAGTACTGACTTTACTACCTTCGCCAAGAAGGTTGTTTTCACAGGAGTTCGTGTATGAGTGCGTCCGTCTGTAAACCCGATAACGTAACAAGGCTTCAATGGATTGACTTCATATTTAGTAGGTAGGTAGGTATTGATAAGACCTAGACATAATTAAATTGTGGGCCCCCTAGTGACTTCTTATGGTACTGCAGCTCAAATTCCGGTTTTGATATCTCCTGATCTGGACATGCTACAGTCAGGAAATATGGAAATGCTGTGAGATCATAGTTTAAGATGATATTCAAGTTATATATTTACATTGAAGTACATTTAAGTACTATGTTACCGCCAATGTTGCAGGGGTGTGTTTGTGTACGTTTGTATTTTCAGACTGCTGTGATATTTTTGAACGCTGATCTTACAGATGATTGTTTTGTCGTAAAAAGTGTTGAAGAATCTTATGCCCAAGATTGTCCTGGTAGCTGACAAAAATGTTAGTATGTCAGTATCGGCTAAGTATTTTTGCCTTGTCCATTTTCTTGTGCTTTGATAGTTCCTTTTTTATTTTTGATCAATTTTATTTAACTAGGCATAATTCTATGAATTGTATCATAATGAGAAAATAAATAAAAAAATGCCGAAAGTTTCTTAAGATTACAGTAATTGATTCGATGACAAATCAACTAAATCTAAACCAAACAAATAAGGATCCCATAATTCACCAAAAACACTTAGTCGGAAATGTTAACGAATGAATGAGATCGTGTAACTCGATTTCAGTTGTATACTGGAGAGGCATTTGCAAACTGTTATATGCTTGTCTATATATGAGAATCTAAGAACCGTAAACAACGCACATCATCACAAAACTACAACGCCCATCACCACAACTTTTTCAGAGAGATATTGTACAAGCCTAGTCCATAAGCCTAAACTAGAACTTTTCAATAAAAATTAATGAAGGCCTACAACACTCTCCCTACCTAAATAACAACATCAAACTAAGTTCTATCATGAAAGTTCATCTGTGTTTGTAATCACAGGTTTGAAGTTAAAACTTTTGGTCCAACACAAAAAAGTTCTCTCACCTAGAGCTATCCCTAGAGCTTTCCCACCTAGAGCTTTCCCACCAAACCCTCGGCAGAAACAGGAAGTCCAAGGGGTTGGTAGTCCTTCCATACATAAAGGACTTGTCTGAAGCTCTCAGGAGGATTTTCATTTCCCACGGGATTGCAACTTGTTTCAAACCAACCACTACTTTAAGACACATTCTTGTTGCGCCAAAGGGGAAAAACCCCAAAGAGAAGAAGTGTGGTGTCATCTACCACATCCCCTGCCAGGGCAAAAACAACAAGGGGCCCTGCCAGGAAACGTACATTGGGGAAACAGGTCTCTAAAAGCCAGGTTTCAAGAACATGCACGGCCTAGGATAAGAGAATTGGTAAAAGCACGAATGCCAGCCATTAAATTTATGGTGGTAAAATAAAACTCATATTGAATTCCCTGTACCAATTTTGTAAATTTTGTTATTACTTTTTTTCTGCTTGATTATTCACTTTGTTGATTTTGTATGATGAACAGTATTATAATAATATTATCTGCTTTTATTTCATACTTACTTTATCAAATTTCATCTTGTTTTATTACCTTCACAATAAATTATTCTTTTACTTTAATTCTACTGAATTCTGACCTCTCCAACTCCAATTTGGAGTCGTACTACTAATGTCCATGCTAATGAAATAGGTATATGCATATATGACCTTTTGTGTAATTGATTATATTTTAATTTAATTATTTTAGTCAGTTATGTGATTTTCAGTTTTCAGTTTATTTCGCACTTTAAAACAAAATGTAACAATACAAATACAAGAAAATATAAATGAAATGTAAGAGTGCAGGGAGGCCGGAAGCATAACATGCTGATGAGAAGGCCTCCCTTAATAACGTGATTAACAATTCAAATAAATCGGATAAATAAGAAATAACTTAGGTAACGGGTAAATGAAACAAAACAATAAAATACAATATGATACAATACTATCTACAATAATGAAAAGTAGTAATGAAAGTAGTAAACAAGGAAACAAACAAAAATTAGGAATGTGTGGGGTTATTTATGAAAGCTACTTTAGTATGATTTTTGAAAATGGTGAAGGAGGGAATAATTTGTAAAGTTCTACTTAGGTTGTTCCATATTGTTGGGCCCCTGTGCGTGATTGTAAATTAGATTAGTAGATTCGATTTCGCATTTACTTTCGCAATTACTTTGGCGTGTGAAGTGGCTGTGGATATCTGAGTTCAATAAGAAGGTGTAGGTGTCGTGGACGGTGGAAGGTTTCAGGAAGGCAAGGACATTTATTTATTATCTTATACATTAAAAGACTGGTTTGTAGTCTATTTATGTCATTTATGGTCAGTATTTTCAGCTTTTTTAACAACGGTGCAGTAGGGAAAGTAAATGGAACTTTTGACGCTATTCTGATGTATCGTTTCTGAAGCAGAAAGAGCGGTTAAGTGATGTAGTGTACGTACTCGCCCATACACTATTACAATAGCTTAAGTAAGGATAGTTAAGACTATAATAGAGAGTAATAAATGTTTTAGGAGATAAAAGATTTCCCACTTTCCGTTTAGTTTATATGCTAATCTCCAATTAAGTGTTTTGTATAATTTACATATTATATTATATTGAAAATATATCTAAAATATTACATAATATAATTTGATTATATCCCCCTGTTATATTTTCTATATTTAGTGGACTCAAGGAAGACTAGTTATTTTACTCACTAATGGAGATCTTAACGAAGCGAACCAAACCTTTTCCGGGGTCGTAAAGAATTGGTGACTTCCTTACACGAATCATGATAGGGATAATTGCTTCATGCTGTAGATACACGAAGTGCACTGAAAATAAAATGGAAAGCTTTTAGAGGCGAAGTAGCTATTTATAGTGTATGAATGCAAACGACTAAAACCAGGTTAATATAAACATAAGACATGACCCTGTATAGTTTATGCTTGTATGCAGAATGATACACTTAAGTAAGTAATAAGTTACACAATACATCCAAACGTATTGTGTCTTTTAAAACAATCGGCACACTTACGTACACATTGTTGTAGCATGTACGATTGTCAAGCATTAAAGTTCATTCATTAATACACGTATGTCGTATAGGAGATGTCCAAGGTCAACGTTGCATCAGAATTTTGCCTGTTGCAGAGGATATTCTGTCCAACACAACATTTGGAAACTACTGTCCAAATGCTAATCTTATATAAGCGAATACAACCTTATTTGAGACATTCTGCCGAAATGCTGTGTACAATACATTACGGGTTTCGCGCAGGTGCAGTACGTTCTGCCCACGTGCTGGTATATACGTGTTATTTATATTGAAATTTCATCAATACTTCCATTTCTTTTTCCAAAAAAGCTTTAAATGAAGGTCTTTAGTATGTTTACAATGTATTTAGGGTTTATCATGAAAAAAAAATCATTTTTGAAAATTCTAGATTGATGATACAAAATGGCGGATAGCTTAGATATGCATGACATCATGTTATGACGTCACTGGTGTTGCTACGGGCAACATAAGACTTAGTAAACCCTAATATTCTGTCTTAAAAACTTTTGGTAAAGTTATGTTGTATACAATTTAGTTTTCAGGGAATAACCTACCTAGACGGTTCAGGCCAATAAAATCACATTAATAACGTCATAATGACGTCATGTTACGTTGTAACGACATACAAATTGTAGATATGATAAATTTTTACTAATTCACCATCCTCTGTAAATTTGGTGGTCATACAACATACGGTTCGCGAGTTCTGAGGGGGGGGGTCAAAAGAGCCAAAAAAAAACCGATCTAGGTAGGGTTAAAGGTCTTCTTTTCCGACGAGACGTCTGTTTTTAGATAAACCAGATTCACAACCTGCTATGACTCAAGTTTCGCAGAATGTTGGTTGCTACCGACAAGACGTCAATCGTTATATTTAGACGCTATGATCGTTACTTTTCGGACGTTCCTTGGGTTCCTCTGGTTACTTGAGCGCTTCTAGACTTTGACAGAGGATTCTTCAAATCCGAGACGTAGATTATGTCTACCGCTTGTTAACCACTCTGTCGGGCAGTCGATTTGGAAAGTATGATGCCTTCCAATCTGTCAAATGTAAACACCACAATGTGGGGTCGTGTGGCGTAGTGGCAGAGTGGTCGACTCGGAACCAAGAGATCCGGGTTCGAGTCCTGACATGCCACCGATCTTATGCCATTGGCAAAGGCACTTTACACGACTTTCCTCACTTCACTCAGGTGAAAATGAGTATTGTATTGTCCCCTGTGTTGGTGGTGGCATTAATATAAGTTGAAAAAAATGACTGTGCCGTCACCACGTCTTGTTGGAATATTTTAAAAAATGTAAGCAAAAATACGGAAAAAAATTCTAGACGTGCCGTAGGGTAACTTAAACTCTGACCTGCACGAATGGATGTATTTGGTTTGTATGTGGCTTGTTCATCCCAGGTATAGCTTATTAAACAAAACCTTAGTCTTAAATTCCTGATTAGAATGTGTGTGTATGAGTTTCTGTGTGTCTGTGTTTAGACAATGCCATATAAGAGAAAGTCCGAACTCATGTTGCTTTTTTTCAGCATTTTCTCACACAATATTTGATAAAAAGTACCAGATATTGTTCGACGCCGGGCAGAAGATGAATAGATTTTGGTTAGCAGTATTATTATTATCCTTAATGGACATACTGGTTAATGGTTGTTTCGAGTTTTTACTATGGTCATTTATTGCTTCATTTAGTGACCCGTACCATAATTAAACACCGTTACTTACCATAGTCCCTAGCATCTATGTCGAAGACCGTGTTAACATACACCACAAACTCCAGCTGCCGGTTGAGATGGTCCAGAGACTTACTCCTTATAGTCAGTAAAGTAGTACCCAGGCCTTCAACGCTAACCTTGGGCACTGTCGCACTGATGTCCAACACCCCGTAATCAGATGACGAAAGTTTGACCTTTATAATGTACCGAGAGTTACATTTTATGCCGCAACATATATTGAATACTCGCAATAAAATACGAGAAGGTTGAAAGTCATTTTATTAGATATAGTTTTAAAATTCTGTACCATGTGGTGACTTAACCCTATCTAGGCCGGGGTGGGGAGGAGGGCTAGAATTGCCCGCGCCAAATTTGATGTCGAATAGCGTCCAATGGCTAGTGACTTTTTCGTAAAATATTGTTGGCAACAATTTTTTATCAGTGGAATAAGATAATGATGTTGGTGTTGCCATGACAACGGGTTTTTAACGGGCATGTTTTGCTAATTTAGTAATTTTCGTTTCAACAATAGAATTTTATGCGTTTATGTAAAGTTACACCCGGTCCTGCTTTCTAATAGTAATAATATCTCATGTAGTTTAATGTACATTTCATCAGTAAAAGGCATAATTTATAATGATTTCATGACGTAATTGACTAAAATGCAAGATGGCGGCTCACATCATTAGATGTGGTAAAAACATTTTATTCCTTAAAATTTCATCACCAGTTCCATCTTTACAAAAAAGGTTCATATGAACGTATTTAGTTTACTTTTAGTCTATATTTCAGCCTTTATCTTGAAAAAATATCCTTGAAAATTCAAGATTGATGATCCAAAATGGCGGATACCTTAAATACACATGACGTTATATTATGACGTCACTAGTGTTGTTGTGGGCGACGTAAGTCTTAGTACACCCTAAAATTCTATTATAAAGGCATTTTGTAAAAGTTACTTTAACATACGTTATACATGTATATATACGGTTCTTCCCACCAAAAATCAGATTTATAATGACGTCATATTACATCAGAACTGCATCAAAATTGTTGCAATCATTCTGTTTTACTAGTACACCATTCTCTGAAAATGTGGTGGTCATACGATATACCGTTCGCAAGTTCTGAGAGAACCCGAATGAGACGATCCCCACCCCCTCCGTCCCACGAAGCCCGGTCTAGATAGGATTAAAGCAAGACTGCAAACATTGCTTGTTGGAATAACCATGTCTTTACCGCATAGAACAGATTTACATTAGCGGTACGTTTTTGCTAATTCAATTATTGCAAAATGTTTTTGATACCTTATAGTCATCGCGTACGGTGTCATCCTCAACTTTTAAACCTGTTTAAGTAGATGGAGATAAGCATTTTAGATTTCGTGGGAAGATACTATGAATTACCAGAAGTACAATTTCATTGATTATATGTGTTATTAGTGACATCTATCTGTTCTTGTAAAGCGTCTACAGCATTTTCACTGTCAACAATTATGTACTTAACCCTGAAACCACCGATGGGGTAAAAACTGAACCCAGGCGTATATTAACATGTGTCATTTTGACATTTCTTGTCGAAAACGAAATTACTTCTGAGTTTGTTTGTATATATGTCTTATAACTTCTTACACGTTTTTACTGAGATTAAAACATTGTTGGTTAAGTTATCCAAGAAAATTCACGGGTGGTCCAGTGGGCTGAAAACTGACTCCAGCATTTTAAACTGGTGTTTTAATACATGTGATTTTTTTATTGTGGTCATTTTTTCTTCCAGATAATATGTTTGCTTGCGTTTTCTGCTGCCATTTGAATTACCTCAACATATTTACTCTTCAGAAAAAAACCCAATAAATTGGGACCCTAGCCAAAGTTTCCTATAGACTTGGGATGAAACGTCATCGACATCGCTAGCCTGATGGCATCTTGTATTAGGAGCATAAATTATGATATTGAACAGAAATTATGAAAAATTGTCCTTGATAGATTAATGAAACAATACACATCACAAAATCAAGTCACAAGCTATATTTGTGCAAAACTTAATAGGATCAGTTTTGACCCTATACGGTAAAATTCGTCGCAAAAAAACCTACGATGGTTTGAGGGTTACACTTGATATTGCCTATATTTTATTAGCATTCAGGATTGGCCTCATTATATGGTTAGCTTTTTCCCATCTGTTCTTAAACCTTAGTAAACTAAGGCAACAATAACGTGACTAACGGACTTAAATTAAAGGCACGGCAGCAATATTTAAGCATTAATTGTTTAACACAAGCATTTTAGCATTTAGTGAGCTTAATATTGGTATTATTTGCTTGCCATTAACCCCTGAATACAACTGAAGCATTTTCTGATTTAGTCATAATTGAGAGTGTTAACAATTGCTGATTTATACGCCATTATGATTGTTCTACCCTCTACAGACATATGAGCCCGACATTTAAACACCGAAAGTTGTTAAAGGTGATATCTACTGTACCTGGGATGTTTTCCGATTCTTCTGGGGCTACGACCACTCCGTGTGCTGGATAGCTGAGAGGAACGGATCCGTTCACCAAAAGTACAGTCTCTTTAGACGACTTGGTTCTAGAGTAACAACAAATTAAAACAAAAATGCAGTACGATTATAGACTAGAAAAGCCGTCATTTGATCTTGAGCAAATACTCAATTTCCCTTTCTGTGTCACCGATTGTTCACAACGAATCCGTGTAAAAAGATAATTATTGAAAAAAAAATACCTAGAGTAAACTTTTGCCGTGTCTTACTATACCTTTATAAGGCCTCGACAATTTTATCGTATTTAAAACATGCTCGTGCAGTTCAAGAATCGACTCTTCAAGTGACATCAAATCAAATGAACTTTTATGGATGTAAATGGGTGCGCTCCGATAGAGAACGAAGCTTTATTGGTGCCATTACTCGCTGGAAGGTATCTGGGTAGTCTGACGTGATAGCTAGATAAGGTAGGTAGATCGACCAGTTTGACAGCACTGCCCGTTCTGTAAATGGAGAGTGCATGCAAACAGTTATGAATTCCTAATGATACAATTACATAAATTACAAAATGAAACCATGTTTAATTTGACATCAAAGCCATAAAAGTCTTCTTTCACTGATACAAAAGTGTTTGTCATGCATATTACTATTTGTCATGCATAGTAATCAATTCGAAATGGATGACGTCATTTCCGGTCAGCAGGTATATATCTTTTGGGAGCCATACACCCGGACACAACGTTCATATGCTGCGTGCTTCTCCGTCTCGCTAGGCCTTCCGCTAATCACTGCCGCTCTCCCAAACAGTGGAACACGTCTTAAACAAACAAACAAACAAACAAACAAACAAACAAGCAAACAAACTGAAGATGCCGTCAGGAGGTTTTCAGACGGAGACAAACCTGGAGGGGTGGCGTTGCGCCAGTCCACTTGGTGGACGTCATTTTTGACATTATGCTTTTCCTTAACTTGTATTTTGTTCAGGTAGGGAAAATGTCAGCTCATAAGAAGCCAATTTTGGAAAGGAAAGGAATCCGATCCCATCCTGCGGAAGGACGGTTTTCTGATACTCAGACGTGTTTTCTCAGATGGTGGTCTATGGTGGTCTATGCCTTAGATGGGAGTTTAAGCTATCCCCCTCCATGTTTTTTTAGGTTTTCTTCTCGTAGGGAGTGAGGTCGGCCGTAACCTACAAGAGGTGTGGGTGTTTGTGAGTCGGCAGGTGTGAGAGTAGTTTCTGAGAGTAGAGCTGGCTTGTTTGCTCATGCCAGCGTGGTAAATCCCACGTGCACTTCTGAAGTCAGAGCACTTACTCTACTTTACTTTGGTCGAGCTCCCGCCCGAACCAATCCCAAAAGCACTCGCTATCCCGCTCTGTCATCAGAGACCAGAACTCCCCCACCTCAGTCAGGCCGGCATTTGATTTGAGGTTTTTCTTATAGGTTCCCACCGGGTCTCCCCTGGGTCTCCCACGGTTTCTTTGGCCTTAAGTAGCCTCCCAAAGGACCAGTTTGGAGGCTACAATATCAGGATGTCTGACACAGTATGTGGCTAGTTTCATCCTACGGATTTTGATTTTCTCTGTAACTGCAGGTAGATCCTGATATAGCTGCTTGTTGGGGAGTTTTTACTCCCAGGAAATGTTCAGACACATACGGAGCATCTTTGTATAGCAGCCATTAATACGCTACTCATGGAATTTAATGAGCGCCCAAACTTCACTACCATACAGCAGTATTGATTCTATGTGGTGGTACAATTTTGGTTTGTTGTGGTAAAACCTCCAGATTTTCTTTGGCTTATTGCAGCTACTCCAGACGAGCGATTTTCTTATTTCGAAGTCTTTTTCAGAGTTTTACATCTTGGAACCAATATATTTAAAGTCTTTGACTTCCTCTACTAGGTTACCGCTACTTGTTTGGATGTCGATGGGAACAACTTTTTTTTTAATTAGCAATTCGACATGTATAATACAGGACATGGTGGTGAGGTACTCTAGCTGTAGCTTATATTAACCTCACCACCAGACATACAGGTAGGCAGTGACAAAATACATGACAAAAACAACAGGGAACAGCAAATGGGTGGAAATGGCAACAGTGTGATTATGGTAATGGATAATAATGAATGGTAAGGAAGAACATATTTTGTAGGCGTTAATCTAATACAAACCATCTAATGGAAACCGTTTAGTATCAATAAAGTAATTTTGGGTGATTGTCAAAATGTTACAGATTGTATCTGGGTGTAAATCGGGTGATCCTCTAAGTAAAATGTTACATAAGAATTGTTCAGACATGTTATGTACACCAATGACAGAGCCAACCAGTTCTGTAGATTGCTGAGTAGGGTGACTCTTTTTGCTGATTATATATTATGTCCTACCTGGGTCGCGATTACGTTCGATACGGGTGTTCCGGCCCGTGTGATAACTAGCGGTACGGCCCGGGGGTTCTTTACGCGTACGGCCCGGGCCTTCCAGATGTTCTATAGAACGATTCGAACGCGTTTCGCCCTAACCGCGTGCAACGCTTTCGAAAATTCGAATGCAAACTACGGACGTTGGAATTGATGTTGTTGCTTTGTTTTTTTTTTTTTGGTTTAGGGACACCAAATTTCGCTCATTTCGCATTGAAAGGCGTGTTTACATGGGTGGGTATGACATAAATAAAATACAACACGGTGTATTCCGCATCACCCTCGGTCCCAGCCCTCCCGTGGATCGGATCTCCCTCCGGCCTTCGGCCGCGATCCGACGCGCGGTCGGGCTGGCACCTCGGGCGATACGGAATACCCCGTGTTGTATTCTATATTTATATACTGGGCAGTGTAACAGAAAATGTATGACGCTCTCTGGTACATCTGAAGATGGTAAATCTGTGGTATAGTTGCATATTTACCGATTGGTAAATGTAACCTTTACCTTGCTTTACATCACATTTAACTTTGTGGTAAATCCCACTTTTCATACAGTGTTACTTTGAAAACTACACACACATATCCAGTGAAAAGTCAAATTAAACGGCCAATGTCGATTTATTAGCTAAGAAATGTCCACTACTCCAGAAAATAAAAAAAAGAAAGGTGTTGACCTGCGTTTAAATTTTTGAAGTTCTACTTGGCGTCGACTTTCAACTTCATTCAGCTCATCTGCCTCCCATTGCTTAAGGTTAATGTTACCCTCCATCTCTTCGGAACAGTTGCATCTCTTCATTTTGGTACTGAAAATAGAAACAAAAAAATAACAGTTCCTCTTTTTTTCTATACTTGCATGCAATACACCCGTTAAGGTAAATCAACGTAGTGGAATTAGCAAAACTAGAGTACCGCGATCCCATAGCTTCGCCAAATGATGTTAATCTTTATGACATTATCCGGCTTGAGTAATTCCAGTAAGCTCCCCTGATTATGCGAATAGGATCCTCAATTACATGAATTCTTCCCCAAAAAACAATCTTATTTTAGCATAATGCGGCATTGCCATTCTAGCATATCCTTATAAACTATGCAAATGAGACCCTTATTATGGGTTCACCACACCACGAAGTGGTGGTGAACCCATATTGCTTTTTCTGATGTTTCTTCTCCTCCTCCTCCTCCTGCCACTTCTTTAAATTGATTCAACTCCTTCATTTTTGGGCGAAATTACCTGTAATTTCGTATAGAGGTAGAGTGGGTAAATACCCTTAGGCTATTTTTTAAATTTTTTTGATACAAGTCTTTTAACAATTCGTTTTATTTGTCTTTTTAGTGGTCCCCATAGGAAAGTACTGTGGGGGCGTACGCGCGTGACGTAATAAGAAAGGAAGTTACGGGGGAAGGCCCAAAAGTATGGGACATACAAGCAGGTGTGGTCATGTTTGCAGATGTGGCTGTTGATTGGCTGTTGGCTTAATTAATTTATT